TTATTTTTCATATATTTTTTTTACTAGAGTGTTTGTGTTAATATATTATTCACACCCTCCATTCATAAGTTGCTTAATTTGTGTTTTAGAAAATCCCTGCATGCTTTTATCTAGCCTCTGCACTGCCGCATAATGTATTTGAGGAGGCTGACATTTAGATTTTAAGGCATTGTATAGTGTCAGGAAAACAGTAGTGCCCTACTCCCAAATTAGATCTAGCACTCCCTTCCCACCCCATATTAAAAGCTAATTAGAAAAAAGAGGTTTTACTTCTTTCCTCCAGAGCGGAGACTCCTTCTGTGTTACTGCCTGCCAAGCATTCTGCTATGTTATTATGGAGGCATCGCTTGCATGATGATCCAATTCAAGAGCCCTCGTAGATTACCAGTTGGCATGAGGTATGCGTGTGTGGCAAGAGCCACATTCAGTCGAATGCTGTTCATAGAATGACATTGAATTCCATGCTTTCCTCTGAACTGCGTTTGGTCACATGACTGAGCATCACTTGGCTGTTGCACAGTTGCTGTCAGGAAGAGAGTCATTAAAGGTGTGTTTAACCCTGTTTTACATTGCTGGGGTAAAACTACAAGGCCTCTGCATTTGTGCTGAAGTGTTCTGGGTGCATTTAATGGGCCTTTAAACCATTTTTTCCTTCACATGTAACCGGACTCAGGAAGCTTAGACTCGGGACAATTGTTCAGGTTTATGTGATCTGATATCCCCATTGCCTAACTGTACTACACTAAAGGCTACACTTACTATGCTTGTAATGAAAAAAAATGTCAATGTAACACACTGTAAATGAGTACTTCCTTTTTGCATTACCTCTCTTTGTCTGTCTGAAGGACAGATGATTTTTGTTAAAGAGAGTGAGAGGAAGCTCACGGTGCTTAATTTAACAGGTGTGTCTGTCAGAATTACAAGTGTCAGTTGCTAACATCTGGGGGAAAAAAACAAGTGATGTCATCAATATTAAATTATCCAGAATTGTTTCCTTACCCTGTTAAATAATATGCTTATAATGCACTGATTTAATAAAAGTTGTGGCAAGGTCGAAAATGTACAAAAACATGTCTTACATTAATTCTGAAATATACGGCGTTGCATAACCTACATATTCCAAAGAATATTTCAAAGGAAACCCCTCATACACTATAGGTATAAGAGATGCAAATCAACACATTTTAGAGTTCTGACCCACATTTCTGTTAGCTCTTCCAGCAATAAATATGACCAGCTTCCGGCCGCCTGATGCTGCAGTCAGCCTCGAAGGCCTGTAGAGAGCCGCCTCAGGGCGGCTGCAGCTTTGCCCCGGCGGGTAAAGCGGCCCATGAGGGCGATCACACCTCGGCTACAGCCAGGAGAGAGGGCCGACAGAGGGAAACGCCTCCTCCTGTCACTCCTTTCTATTAGCTGCTGGCGTCGAGGCCCTGTACAGAGTAGCAAATGCCTGTACCCGCCTGAACAGGAAGTGCACACAGTGTGTGACTTCTCCCGTTGGGGTCCGCCGGTACAGAAACAAAAGCCCCTGCATCCGGCCATGACTATACTGGCCCCGGCCACGCCTAAAAGCAAAAGGTGGGTAGGGGAAGGGGACAGAAAGAGAAAGGGGAGGGGGGAAGAGAAAAGGGAGGGAGGGAAGAGAAAGAGAGAGGGGGAAGAGAAAGGGGGGAGGCTGTGGGGAGGAGGATGAGAAAGAGATGATACAAAGGTGAGAGAGGAAAGGGGTGAGAGAGGAGAAAGCAAGAGAGAGAAAGGGGAGAGAAAGGGGGGGTGAAAAAGGGGGGGTGAGAGGAGAAATGAGGGGGGTGAGAGAGAAAGGAGGGGGTGTATATTAATTATGGGGGGGTGTATTAATTATGGGGTGTATTAATTATGGGGGGTTTATTAATTATGGGGGTATATTAATTATGGGAGGTTGTATTAATAATGGGGTTGTATTAATAATGGGGGTGTATTGCGGGGTGTATATTACCTCATGGGGTGTATTAATTTATGGGGAGTATTAATTATGGGGGTGGTGTATATTAATTATAGGGTGAATTAATTATTGGGGTGTATTAATTATTTGTACAATTATTGGGAGGATTAATTATGGGGGTGGATTAATTATGGGAGTGTATTAATTATGGGTAGTGGATTAATTAAGGGGGGTGGATTAATTAAGGGGGGAATTAATTATGGGTAGTGGATTAATTAAGGGGGTGGATTAATTATGGGGATGTATTAATTAAGGGGGGATGTATTAATTATGGGGGTTGGATTAATTAGTGTGGATTAATTAAGGGTGTATGTATCAATTAAGGGGGGTGGATTAATTAAGGGTGTGTGGATGAATTAGTGTGGATTAATTAAGGGGTATGGATTAATTAAAGAAAACCTTTAAAAATTTTTACGGATCCTGTGCTTGGGGGGTGCCAAGCACAGGATCCGCCCTGGGTGCCAAATGCTCTAGGTACGCCCCTGTACTTTAGAGAGAGCTCAGAAAAGAGCTACTAAACTGGTTCATGGATTGCAGGATAAAACTTACAAGGAAAGATTAAAGGAACTTAACATATATAGCTTGGAGGAAAGACGAGACAGGGGGATAGGATAGAAACATTTAAATACATAAAGGGAATCAACACAGTAAAGGAGACTATATTCAAAAGAAGAAAAACTACCACAACAAGAGGACATAGTCTTGAATTAGAGAGGCAAAGGTTTAAAAATAATATCCAGAAGTATTACTTTACTTAGAGGGTAGTGGATGCATGGAATAGCCTTCCAGCTGAAGTGGTAGAGGTTAACACAGTCAAGGCATTTAAGCATGCATGGGATATGCATAAGGCTATCCTAACTATAAGATAAGGCCAGGGACTAATGAAAGTATTTAAAAAAATTGGGCAGACTAGATGGGTCGAATGGTTCTTATCTGTTGTCACATTCTATGTTTCTACCGCGCGGGCCAGGGCCGCAACACATGGTGGCGGGCACCCGGTCGCAGCAGTCCACAGGGCAGCCGGGCCCCATGCGACCGCAGTAGTTCCAACACTTGTTCAAAGCTAAGGTTTGAGTGACAGGGGAGGGCAGAGTACTCTCCCTAAAGTGGTTTTATACTCTTAGAATTATGGAAAGTCGAACTTCTTAAATGGGAAATGCAAGCAAGGCAGCCTTAATCAGAGTAATAGGTTAATTGCAAAATGTATTAGGTAAAGAGAAGGCATATCTCCAGTCAAGCAAAACAAGGGATAGCAAAGGCAAAGAAGTAATGCTCATAACTGTTTCATCTCTTCTCAGACTCTTTATCAAAGACCAGTAACTTATTAGGAGAAGACCTATTGGATGGCTAAATTGATGGTCTGCCAATATTGCAAAGTATGTTTCTTCGGATCACTTTGCTCACTGTCAATGTACTACACCCCCAGCAGGTGTTTGTCATGTACTGGACGTTCTGATGGTGATGTGCTGTCAGTAAAGCCAGCATGTTGACCATTTTAATAGGGATTGCCCCATTTGAGGAAGTTGTCCGAAGCAGACCAAGTGTCTACAGTCATGAGTTGGCAGGAGACAGTGGATGTTGTTACTGTGAAACGCTCACAAACTCTGCTGGAATGATGACATTGGAGTGAGCAACTACCAAAGCCAATAAATATACAATTTACCTCTATGTTCAGTGGTGGAACCACCGCGGTTGCAGGGGTCACCACCCTAGGGGGCCCGGCCACCCTGCAATCCCCTCCGACCGAGGTGCCTGCCGCCATATGTGTTGCCCTGGCCCGCGCGGTAGAACTGCCGGGGCCACACGTTAAGGGGCCCATCAGCGCCTAACAGCATGGGCCACCCAATGGAAATGAATTTGACATCACAGCTGGGAGGAAGTGACTGCCCCGGTCACTTCCTCCCAGCAACTACCGGGAGCCGCGTGGGAGGAAGGAGAGGAGGGAGTCGGAGTGGGAACTCTGACACCCATTAGGGTGAGCCACCACTGGACCCCATGGAAGTCACCCTCCTGCTCCTAAAAGGTAGGAAACAGGAGGGTGACTAAAACATTTTGCATATGTGTGTGTTTGTGTATGTGTGTCTTCATGAATGTCTCTGTATGTGTCTGTTTGTCTGTCTGTATACGTATGTGTGTCTGTTTGTGTGTGTATGTATGTGTCTCTGTCTCTGTATGCATGTTTGTATGTAAGTGTGTCTGTATGTCTGTGTGTGTGTTTATCTATGCGTGTGTGTGTCTGTATGTGTGTCTGTTTGCATATGTGTGTGTCTATATATATGTGTGTCTGTGTGTATGTATGTGTCTGTATGTATGTATGTATGTGTGTGTCTGTCTGTATGTACGCCTGTATGTGTGTGTCTCTGTGTATGTGTGTGTGTCTCTGTGTATGTGTGTGTCTGCATGGGTATCTGATGGTCTGCACCTGTTTGTGTGTGTGTGGGGCAATGTATGGGAGGGGGAGGGTAGACATATAGGGAGTTGGCGGGGGTAGACGTATGGGGGGGGGCAGGGCAGTTTTCGCACTGAGGCCCCCTGGTTTTTTAGTTACAACTCTGTCTATGATAAATTATATATTTACTACGTTAGGGGTATTGTAGCTAGTGTTGTAGTGATAGGTTCATTTTAACAATGGGTCGCCAACTAATAGAACATACATTATTTGGATCCCTGACAAAAAAAGAACCTCGGGGTTAAATTAATATATAACTCTTAATTTTCACATCTAGACAAAATCTATTAGCTAACATGTTTACTGGTTTGATACACTAACACTGCTGAGTTATGCTCAGAAGTCAGATAAATAGGTAGTAAATACCATAAACCTTTTTACTGACATCTGGGCATAATAACTTTTTACAGATATGCCAGTTTCTTGAGTATTTAGTAAATCATCCTTTATGTGTTTAATGCATAAATATAATAATAAAATTAGCTTTTCAAAGCTTTTAGAATTAGTCATGGTGGCAAGATACTCTATGTACAGAGTTTCTAGTTAATTGCTAGGCTAGTTACACCCCCAGGACATGTGACTTTAGCAGAGTGCAAAATTTACATCTGTTGTCAGTGCGCATATCCATGATTGGACTGGATCTTTTATAGCTGAATCCCAACAATTATTTGTTTTTTCGCTTTCTTTATGTTTAACTATTTCGTGATGCCTGCTTGCATAGCCAGTGGAAAATATCAGTAAAGCAGATCTTAAGATTTTTACATTCTTTAAAAAATATATATCTGCTGTGTACCAGATCCATCTACCTGCATATTTTTCAGCAGTAAATATTATACTTTTTCTCTATGTGAAACCGTATCGTTGGCCATTGGGTAAAGATTTTTTATGCTACTTGAAATTTTTATCGCTACTCCCGTTGGATTTTATTCAGAAAAAAAAGTGATAAAACTTTACCGCATGTGGTAAAGCATTTTAGTGGTGACAATAGAATAGCAAAACAGCCAATAATTTATCACTTTGGCTGTTTTATCGACCTTCACACATAGAATAGAATGGGGCCCCTTGTTGAAAGTATTGCAAAACAAGTATACAGTTGAATGTCTTGTGCATTCATGATTTAAAAAATAAATCTAAATTCTAGAAAATATCATAATTTGAATAGTTACGTATTCCTAAACAATCCATAGACTGTAAGCTCGTTTAAGCAGGGTCTTCTTCAACCTATCGTTCCTGTAAATTTTCTTGTAATTGTCCTGTTTATTGTTAAATCCCCCCCTTTCTAATATTGTAAAGCGCTACGGAATCTATTGGCGCTATATAAATGGCAATAATAGTAATAAGGGCCATTGTATGAAATTGCTGTGTTTTTTTCCACGGTGACGTGTTAGCAATTAATCCCATGTTTCAAAGAAACGTTATAATTACACTTTTAATGGTAATTGATGAAAATGATAGAAAAGATTAATTAGGGGTTGTATCGTGTAACAACTTTCCTATAATGACGTATACAGTATATATAAGAATTAAAGTATTGTGTTATGTATATGCGGCAAAATATTCCACAGTGCTGAATTATAAAATGTGGATATATTAGTAAATACAAATACAAATTATTACAAATGTTAACAAATATCATTCTTATCTGGCCCATCTCTACTCTTTACAAGCTTAACATGTAATTCTGTGTATTGAATACAAATGTTTGGTTCATTTTTCTTATATACGTAGCCTGCTGCAACATTTGGACAAGGTGTAATTTCTAAACTGATGTTCTGCAAATATTTATTTTAATCGTTTAATCACATTTAATCGTTACTGTGATTCACATTGCTTGGCCTTGATGCACCTAAATGTTGGAAACTGCACACTTAAAACACTGGAGGCAAATATTTTCCTGAGAAAATAAAACACAAGCCTACAGTTACTATGACCTTGCTCATGGGATAACATTTATTGTGGCTATTTTAGCAAAATGGAATATTGAGAAATGTGCCTACTGTGTCAATGGGCCACTAATAGGAATTTGTTTCCTCACTGGCAAATCAATTGGGATATTTCTGATTTTCTTACAATGCTTTGGGCTTGAAGACCTCTTGGTCCAAGTCATTAACCCCTGGAGTGCTACAGGGCTAAATATAGGATAAATAACATTGACAAGGACAAAATGTGCATCATTCCATTTAACATGTTTTATACTTTTATGGATTGTAAGTTTAGAATACACTGCCACAGTGTTTATAATTCTAAGGGTTGATTAAAGCGAATAGCAAAACTTTCCCCATAGAATGGTAGCAGCATTGATCTGGCTAACATGACAAGGAATAAAGGATGTGTTAAATAATGGAATCAGGAAAATAAAAACACAATTCTCCACTGACACAGTTTTAGCAAAAGTAATAGAATCTTGCAGGTTGTATTGTTAGATGCTGCAGAAGCCCAACGTGAATGTTCATTGTAAATGTGCTTCTTTTCAGACCTGACATTCCCTAGCAGTTCTCTATTGATATAATAAATATTTCTAAGAAGCATAACCAAAAATGCCCAACGTCACTACTGGGAATTTCAAAGCAGCAGCATGACAGGTTGCTATGATCAATGCACAATTGGAATTATTGCCTCGTTTCACCTTTGCTTGTATTTCATGCCTGAATAAAAAAAGTATTGACTGCCTTTATCTTTTGTATAAAAAATATGTCTGATCGGTTTTGTGTATTTTAACATACTTCACCTGACACCAAATTCTAAAACTCAGAATCTATTAGCATTATTATTATTAGTTTATTCATATGGTGTATACAATGCTATGTTTATTTGTTTGTTTGTTTATTTATTGCTATATTATTATTTGTCCCAGAGTTTCCCGAGCTGGGAATGGTCTGTTTTCCTCTCCCCTGTCCTGCTGCAGCGAATGCTAGAACGTAACTAGGACACACAGCCATCTTCTCTATTAATTGGGGGCAGACATCTTGAGAAGAGCTGCATTCCTTCCAGATGATGATTAGACCAACCAAGTGTTAGGAGGGACAGTCCCTATCTTGGACCCAAATCCCCCACTTTCTATCCTAATGTCCCTCTTTTCTAGGAGCTCCATAATGTTGTTGTGTCTGAGTGTATAACAGAGCTCCACAGCAATAATACTCCCAATAATGTGTCTTTAAACTGCTATAAAAGTGTTTAGAAATCAGTCTGTGTAAATAAGATGCATTGTTACATTTTTATTGCAAAAATTGTTATTAGTAAGTAAAAAAATAATCCTTGTAACAGCCTGACCTTTGCCACCCTCCCCCACTTACACACATAAAAAGTGATCCTCTTTGTCCATTTGAAATGTTGAGAGGTATGTTTAAGAGACAGATCATGTGCTGGAAAGCTGTACTACTGTGAATAGTAAAACAGGAATCTGATTCAGAACAGAAGCCCCCTAAAGAAGGTTACATCTGAGTATAAGATATATTGTTGTGGCCTGATCATCCTATACTGAGTGCATAATAAACCTTCCCTGGTAAATAGTGGCATTAGGCCTGTAGAAACCACTTCATGTCTTTCATATTGACACTCGCCACTGGTCTGCTCTAACCTCTGATCGGGAGCAGTGGCGTACATACCAGGGTCGCAGGGGTCGCGGCTGCGACCGGGCCCGGCCCACCAGGGTGCCCGGCCGCCCCTGCGACCCGGTGTGTACCCACTGGGCCAGCCTATTCCCCTGGGGGGCCCAGGAGCCGACCACCCCAGGGCCCCCCGAGGCTGGCCCTGCTGACACCCGGAAGGCGGGTGGCCGGTCGGGCAGGCGGACGCGCGAGGGAACACTCTGATTTGAGTGCTTCCTCTTCAGCTCCCTCGCGCACCGCACTGATACCGGAGCCGGAAGATGACGTCATCTTCCGGCGCCGGCATCCCTACGTGGCGCACGAGGGAGCTGAAGAGGAAGCACTCAGAGCAGAGTGCTCCCTCGCGCGCCCGCCTGCCCGACCGGCCAGCCCAGCAGCACCACTGGACCCCAGGGAATCCCACCAGCACTCCAAAAGGTAAGGAGGCTGGGGATTAATTTTTTTTTTGTTTTAAACATGTGTGAGTGTTAGTGTTAGAGTGTGTGTGTTAGTGTTAGAGTGTGTGTGACTGTTAGTGTGAGTGTTAGAGTGTGTGTGAGTGTTAGTGTGAGTGTTAGTGTGAGTGTTAGTGTGTGTGTTAGAGTGTGTGTGAGTGTTAGTGTGAGTGTTAGAGTGTGTGTGAGTGTTAGAGTGAGTGTTAGTGTGTGTGTCTGCTAGTGAGTGTTAGTGTGAGTGTTAGTGTGTGTGTCTTACTGAGTGTGTGTGTGTTAGTGAGTCTGTTTGATGTCTGTTAGTGAGTTTGTGTTTGTCAATGAGAGTGTATGTTTTGTAAGTGAGTGTGTATGTATGTCTGTCGCTGAGTGTGTCTCTGTCAGTAAATGTGTGTGTCTGTTACCTAGTGTGTATGTGTCTGTAAGTGAGAGTGTGTGTGTCTTCAGCACTTACCTTTCTCCAGCGCCGGACTCCCTTGGCGCTGGGTATCCCTCAGCCTCTCAGCTCCGAATGCGACCGCGCACGCATTCAAACCGCCCATAGGAAAGCATTACTTAAAGCTTTCCTATGGACATTCAGTGTGCTCCCCTAGCGGCTGTCAGTGAGACAGCCACTAGAGGCTGGATTAACCCTCAGTGAAACATAGCAGTTTCTCTGAAACTGCTATGTTTTCAGCTGCAGGGTTAAAACTAGAGGGACCTGACACCCAGACAACTTCATTGAGCTGATGTGATCTGGGTGGTCCTTTAAGTGTGTGTGCATCTGCATGCACTGGCGTACATACCGCGGTTGCAGGGGTCGCAGCCCTGTAACCCCTGCGACCAGGTGCCCACCGCAATGTGTTGCGGCCCGGCCCGTGCAGGGGGGGGCCCACGGATCAATTTTCGCACCGGGGCCCAATGGGTCATGTGTACACCACTGATCGGGAGACTTGGAGACACACTATTTATCAGGCTGTCAACCTCCTTCGAAGAGAGCAGATGTTGAGAGTAAAAAGAAACAGGAAGGAAAGTGACATTGCGGTATCAAAGTCATACCAGATTTTCCCTTCTAGCTGGTGCAGTACGATCTGCCTGTTCTGCATTGGCCTTGTCAGCCACTAGCTTGTCTGCAGCACCAGAGGCGGCTCTCTAATCAGGTGGTTTAGGCAGCCGCCTAAGGCCTTGCGCTGGCTGGGGACTCACGGCCGCCTAAACCGCCTGAGGGCAGACTGTGTCGGGTCCTCGGTCACTGACCGAGGACCCGACACCAGGAGGGGACCCGGCGGCTTGCCTGGTATGCCGCCGAGTGCGAGCTGCAGACCATGTGTCTCGCCGAGAACTGGCCAATCCGAGCATTGCCACGGGTTAGCACGGGTCTGCAGATCTGCGGAGCTGCAGAACGGAAGTAATGGCCACCAGACCACCAGGGAATGAAGGGTATGTTGTCTCCCCCATCTCCCCATCAGACCCCCCTCTTTCTCAAATCACCCCTCTCCCTCAGCATCACCCCCCTCACTGGGGAGGACATATTGTCCTGCCCCCGGCCCCCCACCCACCATCACCCCCTTCCTCAGCATCACCCCCCTCAGCATCACCCCCTTCCTCAGCATCACCTTCCCTCAGCATCACAGCATCCCCCTCCAGCCCCCCTCCCTCACCATCAGCCCCTCCCTCTCATCACCCCCCTCACCATCACTCCCCATCCCCTCACCATCAGCCCCCCACCCTCACCATCTCTCCTCCCCTCAACTTCAGCCCCCCTCCC